AGTCAGACAGAGACAGAGACAGAGACATACAGAGTCAGTCAGACAGAGACATACAGAGTCAGTCAGACAGAGTCAGTCAGACAGAGACATACAGAGTCAGTCAGACAGAGACAGAGACAGAGACATACAGAGTCAGTCAGACAGAGACATACAGAGTCAGTCAGACAGAGACAGAGACATACAGAGTCAGTCAGACAGAGACAGAGACAGACAGACAGACACAGATATAGTCAGAAACAGAAAGAGAGACAACAACAATCAATAGTAAGTTCTGTGATGGTTGGAGTGTTACCTGGTAGGGCTCCATGCACACAGCTAGCTCCTCCTCCACAGCGTGAAGCTTCTCCAGGAAGGTGCTGTCAGTCGCCGCTCTAGGGGGTGGGGCTTTGGGAGGAGGGGGAGGTCCCATAGAGACAGGCCTCGCTCTCAAACGCCTAAAGCTGCTCCGAGAAGTCTGACGGGGGGGAGGAGGGGAACTGTAACAGCTTTCTCTACGTCTGTGTCATCACCAACCAGGACAGAGAGGAGGCGGGGCTTAATGAAACAGGTGTTTGCATAGGTTACCTGCCAGGGGCTGCAGCTGTCATCATCCACTCTGCTCACACGACTTCCTCTGGGGGACGACGCCGTGCTCTCCATGTCGCTCTCCTGGAACGTCTGCACACATCAACCAATCAATCAATCAATCAATCAATGAGTAATCGATCATCAGTATGACACTGTGCGGCAGCAGCCAATCAAAGCACAGCCTCACATCTTCAGCCGTCTCATCCTCCTCTTCCTCATCAGGACGGTACTCTTCATCAGAGGAGTCTTCCTCAGCCAGAGGAATGTCCACAAACTGAGGAGCCTGGAGACAGACGGACGGAGACAGACGGACAGAGACAGACGGACAGAGGTTTAACTCAAACGTGTCAGTTTAAATCTGATCAGAGTGAAAACTTTGTTGGTTGAACTTTGACCTTGTTGACGTCACTTGTCTTCTTTATGGGAGAAATGTTCCAGGCTGGAATCACCTGAGAGACAGAGTGAGAAACAGACAGAGTCAGAAACAGACAGACAGAGAGTCTGAAACAGACAGAGAGTCAGAAACAGACAGAGTCAGAAACAGACAGAGTCAGAAACAGACAGACAGAGAGTCAGAAACAGACAGACAGAAAGTCTGAAACAGACAGACAGAGAGTCTGAAACAGACAGAGTCAGAAACAGACAGAGTCAGAAACAGACAGACAGAGAGTCTGAAACAGACAAAGAGTCAGAAACAGACAGAGTCAGAAACAGACAGACAGTCTGAAACAGACAGACAGAGAGTCAGAAAGACAGAGTCAGAAACAGACAGAGTCAGAAACAGACAGACAGAGAGTCAGAAACAGACAGACAGAGAGTCAGAAACAGACAGACAGAGAGTCTGAAAGACAGAGTCTGAAACAGACAGAGTCTGAAACAGACAGAGAGTCAGAAACAGACAGAGAGTCTGAAACAGAGACAGAAACAGACAAAGAGTCTGAAACAGACAGACAGTCTGAAAGACAGAGTCAGAAACAGACAGAGTCAGAAACAGACAGACAGAGAGTCTGAAACAGATAGACAGAGAGTCAGAAACAGACAGACAGAGAGTCTGAAACAGACAGAGAGTCTGAAAGACAGAGTCAGAAACAGACAGAGTCAGAAACAAACAGACAGAGAGTCAGAAACAGACAGACAGAGAGTCTGAAACAGACAG